CCCCCCCCCCCCACACACACAGACTCCCGGATTGGTGAACCACCGGCCGGCTGCCAGCCAGCGCCTTCCGGCCAGCATCGTCCGTTCGCACAGTTGCGGGAGTTGCACCCACTGTCTTGTCCGCAGACCGCCCCTACATCCCTGGCCTCCGAAATGGCGACAGTGTCATTGCCCTGTGAGAGCACACAAACCACACCCGCACCCCTCCTGTTATGATGGCCATCAGAGAATCCGCGTTGTACCTGGATTGCCTCGTTATCGTCAGCGCCGCGCAGATGTCCGGGGGCGTCGTCATGCTCAGGATTTGTCGCGCCAATGAAGAGGACGAGCGATGCGAACACACACGACACAGCGAGCAGTCAGAGGAAGATAGCGAGAGACGAAGAGCTGGGTCTGATCAGGTGATTTGATTCTCGGCACGGACGTGAACGCCCCACGGGAACAACTGACCGTTCCCGTGCCGACCGTTGCCGTTCCATTTCCGTAAACTCGGGCGATTCGTCAGGCACTATTCTTCTTGGTACAATTCACTACTGTCTTACCACTCACTTGTCAAGCCATCAGTCGATCAACCAATACTGTACACCCACCCATCCACCCACTTGCACGCACGCACACACACCACATGGCGACTGTCCATCCCTTCTGCACCTCAATCAATAATGCACATATGCACCCCGCCAATTCATCCCAAGGCCAGGCGAGCCAGGCAGGCCTCTTTTTTCTCGCGGCTGGCCGCCGACAACAAAGGACCAAACTGTCCCTAATGCACGCACGCACCCATGGAGTGACCCCGACACGATCGGATCCGATTCTCTTCGACAGACGGACGACAGGTAGAACGATAAGATAGCGCTGGCTTCCGACGCGCTATCTGACTGTCTGTCTGTCTGTCTGTCACGCAAACGAGCGACCACTGCATGCATCCGTTCATCCAGTCAGAGAGATGCTGTACACACAGACAAGGAGCGCTAAGGGATGTGTCCGTCCGGTGTTGCGTGAGGGACGCAGGCAGAAAGAGAGAGAACGGGTGCGGTGCGTGCGACACGGTTGGGTTGGATTCGATGCGATTCGACAGCCAGACAGAAACGACCCCACCCACCCACCACTGGCCCACCCGCCCCCCCACTCAACAAGCGCTAGCGTCACGGTCACTATCAGGCTTCAAGCAAGAATACTGTACACACAACACCGCACAACCGCCAATCAAGCAGCCGGAGTGGTGGGCCCGTGGGATGAATGCCATTGGCAGCACAACGGCAGACACAGAGATATGGGGAAGGGAGACAGAGAGACACAGCGAGCCAGAAAGACAGAGAGACAGACCGATGCAGACCTGTTCCAGGTGCCTCCGTCTGTCTGTCCAGGGGCGGGGGGCATCCGTTCGCGCACACTATGTATGTATGTATGTATGTCTGTCTGTATGTATGCATGCATCGCATATCATATCATATCTACAGAAAACAAATAACAGTCGCTGAGCCAGTCAGTCAGTGAGTAGTCAGTGTGTGTCCCAGCTGTCTTTGGTACAGCCTCCTCACAGAAAGCGGGAGGTGAGGAGGACGCCCACTCACACAGCACAACAGAGCAGTAGTAAAAATCCGATCACACCATATGCACACCACACGCACATCCGACACGCAGCGCCCTTTTTCGCTTGAAACACACGACCGTACTGAAGGTATGCAGTCTTGCATAAGGTGTGTATGCTCATCTGTCCATCCGTCGCCTTGGCCGTGCTGTCTCCTCTGTCTGCCTCTCTGCCCTCCATCCATGCATCTGTGCGTACGTATAAACGAGCAGCCCGTCGCTATCATGCGAGTGGCCCCACTCAGTCAATCACTCAATCGATCCACAAATGGCTGACACACACTACACACTACACGAGTGGGTCGGTCCCCTGACAGCGACGCCCGGCACCCATCCACCACAGAGACAGACAGACAGACAGACAGCCAAGCCGAGAGATGGCATGTGAGAATAGAAAAGCGAGAAAAATCCCACTCCTTGGCCCCATGGACACACACAAGCAATACACAATACAGGACAACGCCCACCCCCCCATTGCCAGCTCCCTAGTTAATCAGTGACACCCCCCCTCCCCCTCCCGTCCCCTCCCTGCTCACAGCCAGTGCGACCATCCTGAACTCTCTCGCACACGTATGTAGGCACGCTATGGCTGCCGGATCGAGAAAAGGCAGCAGCAGGCTCTCAGCAAACAGCCCGGGGCACCCAAACGCCAGCCGGGCCAGCCCGCAACTCGCCGCCTCCGTGCTGCCTTCCGCGGAACACACGGTGAGGGCCCTTGCGGCCAGTTGTAGGGCGGAGGGGCTCCTGGGGAGTTGGGCGAGGGGGAGGCCCGCTGGCGGATGCGTGGTCTCGAAATGGAGCCACATGCATGTGCCGCGAGAGAGGAGGGTGGAGGGGGGGAGGGACAGCAGCGCCGCGTGGATGTGCTCCCGACACGGGATGAACAAATGACGCAAGAAGAGCACAAACACCTGTCAAGGCAACGCAGCGCAACACAAACGGTCGGTATGTGAGACGCATCAGACACTCCCCCATCTCACCTTTTGCCCGAGCGTCTTGAAACCTCCCCTCGTCCCATGGATGTCGCTCATCTCTTCCTCGATCTTGAGCAAAGCAGTGGGGAGGGCGGCATGCAAGCCCTCCCACAGACCGACGATCGTCTCGACAAACACCTCGACTCGCTCACGCGTTATGTTCGGGGGCCGCAGGCGGCGTGCGTGCGCGACCGGGTGTGCGAGGGTCGCCATGTAGACGTCCAGCAGGGCCAATGTCGGCTTGTGCACAATCGACTCCCACAATGACGGCCTGACGCACAAAAAACATACAGGGAAAGGCATCAGTGAGATTCACGCTTTCCTGTCTGTCTGTCTGTCTGTCTCTTGGTCTCACCAGTGCACGAAGAGCTCTGCCGCGTCTCTGAGGAGCTCCTTGATGGCTTTGTCCCGCCGCCTCCTCCCCCTCTCCCTCTCAGTGTGCCGACCGCGCGACTTCCGAAGCACCATGTCAATCAGGTACTCCCCTTCCCTCCCCCTGATGTCGCGCGCATACAGGTGGCCGAGCGGCGCACGATGGTTCCCGTGATGCTGATGCGTCCCCCGCCGTGACCGCGGTATGCCGGCCAGGGGCACCTCCTCGCCCCAAGGGTCGATTCTGCTGCCGTAGATGAAGTAGGGAGGGGGGGTGTCGTCGGTGGTGGGCAGCAGGGAGGGGTCAGAGGTGTGGAGTGGGTTGCCGGTCAGCCTGTCCGCCACTTCCTCGCACACCAGCTGGGAGGCGAGGCGGATGCCGTTGAGTGGTATACAGGCCATGGCCATGGCCATTATCGTACGGGTACTGAGGCGATAGGAGCGATAGTTGAGTTGACCAGCTATCTGTCAGCGATAATCAGCCGAGTCAGCGATAAACACGCCATGCGGGGCGACGAATTCCAACGAATTCAAAGGTCTAGCGAGTAGTAAGAACCTGATGAACAACGACACACAGCAACCAAAACAGAGAACGTACGAAGAGGAGCACCGTGGTGAGTGCTGCAATTGGAGTGCTGGCACACTGCCTGTTTTCTTTCGTGTAGTGTACCTCTAGCGTTCGCGTCGCGCTTGGTAAGGAGTGGTTGGTTGGTTAGTGGGAGACAGCGAACGATGTGAGACCCAATGATGGCGAGCTTGAGAGGAGCTCGCGCTTCCGACCGGGAAAGCGCTCCCGACCGAGAAAGCGCTTCGCAGCGAGGCTGCGAGTGCGTATGTGATGGCGTCGTCATCGTCATCTTCGTCATCTGAGGCCCCGCCTCGTCTCTCACTGGAATCCGTCCCGCCTGAGGTACTTGCTGACGCCAACAGGCACATGCAGCACAATTGAGCACAGCATGGCGCAAGACAAACACAGAATACCACAGACAGATGCAGATAGAGGAGTTTAGTAGACAGAAGACTCACAGGCATCATCTGTCGACAGACAGGCCTGTCACGTGTGTGTCTGTCTGTCCGTCTGTCTTTCTGTCTGTCTTTCTGTATGTGTCAGGTGTGGGACATCGCCCTGACGTGCTGCGACATCAGATCTGTCGTGCGGCTGCGCGTGAGCAGCGCCTTCTTCCTCCATGCAGTGGAGCAGAGCATCAACGCTGCCGCCTTCCACATCACCCACTTCGTGAACAGCCGCGAGTGCGTGTTGGCTGTCGATGTGGTCCTCGGGGCGTGCCTCGCCAAGCCGTGGCACTTCCTGATCGACTTCCTGCACAGACACAAAGACCTCTTCGGTGAGCCAGCAGAGAGAGCACACTCAGTCGGGGCCTCGGAGTGGGAGTGGGCGCACAGATGTGATTTTGACATGTGATTTTGACAGGTGTGTGGCGGAAGCAGCTCATGGACCGGCACAGCTATTTCGAGATGTCCGGGGCTCTCTGCCTGAGCTTCCTAAGGGGCGCATCCATCCACTTCTGGTGGGCATCGAGGTCACTTCTTTTCGTTGCCACTTCATTCATGTTTTTGTGTTTGTTTCGTTTGATCTGCATTCATCCGCTCAGCACAGTGCGGCCTCTGAGCGGGTTCCAGTCAAGACTCATCGGAGAGCTGCAGCAGGAGCAACAAGGCCGACAAAGCAGCAGCAGCAGCAGCAGCAGCGCCACCACCTCCGCTGCTGCCTCTTCTGGTGCTCCATCGCACCCCCGCAACACGAAACAAGGCAGCCCCCCAAGAACGCTCACAAGACTCGAGTAAGACAGAGAGAAGAAAAGTGAAGATCGTTCGGTGACGTGGTTGCACCTTCGCCATTGTGTCTACATGCAGGTATTTCTTCTCCATCCACTACAGCGACTACAGCGAGGGTGAGGTGACGTCGGCAGCGCCGCATCGGTCAGTCACAGCCGCCAGACAGACGGCGGCGGTGGGCAGCCTGCGAAGGGCAGAGGAGGAACGGGCTAGCGGCAAAGCCGCCACCCGTGACGCCTCCTCACCTCCCGGAGCACCAGCGGCAGCGGCAGCAGCAGTGACGTCGTGGCCCCCACTTTGCACAGCAGAGAGGGCCATCGCCTTCGCTTTGCCCACCACCCACCAGCAACAAGATCAAGACCACCACCAACCGCAAGATCAAGAGGGTCGAGACAGTGAGAGCACCAAGCGGCTGTCGTTCTACCGGCTGGAGTCATCCCAGCTGCTGCAGGACGCCATGGCGCCCCCGCACGCCATCCCCTTCCCCCGGCTGCTGCGTGACGAGATCGACGGCGTCTACGTGCTGGGCGACCGGAGGTACCTCCCCTTGCAGGAAGCATTCACTGCCGAGGTGAGGGGGTGGGTGGACGGAGAGAGTGGCACATGTTTTGCCTTGTACGTAAGGATCCCTCCCTCCGCTCCCTCCTGGTTCCTCTCTCTCTCTCTCCCTGTGTTTCTGTGTGCGTGCAGCGTTTGTCGGATGAGTATGACGGCGAGGACGGCTTCACTGACGACGAAATGGACCGCATCGAGACGACCATCACTCACCGCACCAGGGAGCACCTCGCATGGGAGGAGAGCAACCTCCCCACCAGCCACCTCACAACACCCCCTGGAAAGAGAGACCAGCCAGAGGTCGCCGTGGCCGCCATGCCGTATGCGCCAAAGCCGCCACCACCTGTCCCATACCGATATCTGCTCGTGCAGCTCAAGTAAGCCAGGCGCCTTCAACACGCTGGCGCAATTGAGGGATGGATGGATGGGTGTGTATGTAGGTCTGACTGCAGCCATTTGGCCTGCGCGGCGTCTGGGTCGGACAAGCGTGCTGTCGTGCTGCAGCGACTGCCGATGGACCATCTCGCGACGTACAGGGACAAACTTCCCCCATACGGTGAGTGAGCCTTACCACACAATCCACATGACGCACCAAAGTGTCAGTCAACATGTCCGCGCTATCTGTGCGTGCAGACCATCGCGAGGGCAGAATGGTGGCGAGGCACCTCACCGGCCTCTGGACGGCGTCGTACGGCCCGCACGGCTATGAGTTCCTCTGGCTGGACGGCGACGGCCCCGTGGTGTGCGCGCGCAAGGTGACGGGCGACCCGAACGTGCCGGCATCGACCTACACCTTCTTCGCCGAGCTCAACGCCCCCGTGCCGACGGATGATTTCTCCATCCACCTGCAAATGAGCGCAGACCCGTCAAGGCGGCAGGAGCTGGCAGGGGCGACGTTCAGACACTACCTTGGCAAGGGTGAGAGAGGGAAGGGGGGAGGGCGGGACACATACGTATACATGGGTGGCTGCAAAGACATGTTCTCTGTGAATGTGTGTGGTCAAGGTCGGTTGGCGCAAACAAATTACGGTTCGCCCCGATGGTCACCGCTGCACCTCGCTACCATGGTCGGTCAGGATCAGTCGATACATGCCAGGCATCACCAAGCTGAATGGCGCCTCTGCCGTGTGTTGTTTGGTTGTTTGTTTGTTTGTATCAGAACAACAGTGTGGATGAGTTGTTTGTGCTGTGGCACGAATTGACCAACCTGATGGGCCTCACGCGAACCCACATGGTCAGCCACACATCACAGACAGACAGACAGACAGACGCCCATGCAACCAACCAATGAACCAAATCCGTCTGTCCCTCTCTCTCTGTGCATACAAAACAGTCTGACTTCCAGCGTGTCATCGATGCCTATGGCGCCCTCATCAACAACCCTCCCCCGGGCCCCCCAACCGATGAACAGCCATTCCCCCCGCCACCACCACCACCACCACCAGCTCCAGCCCCAGCCGATGGTCATGATGACAACAACGGTGGCAGTGGGATGGAGCCATCCTCCCCACCACCCAGCGGCCAAAGTCAGGGCAGCGGAGGGAGGGGTGGCCTGCTGTCACTCGTGTTCGGCAGGAGGGGCCCAGGAGGTGCGGGTGGTCAGCCCTCGGGCCTGCGATACGACACAAATACAGCCGAGGAGGCCCTCCGCATGTGGCAGGTGGGGCAGGGCGAGGGGCTTTAATACCCTCCATGTCATGTGTTCTCGCATCATCTCATCCCGTGTGTGTGCTGTGCTGTGTGTCCATGGCTTTAGAACCGCCTAAGGCGCACCTTCTCCCAGCGGATCAGACGGCTGGCCAGCGAGGAAGCGACAAGAGGCGCCATCCGCCCCCTCTTCGTGGCGCCTTTGCTGCCCCGCCCCCCGGTGGATTCGCTGCGCGACCCGGCCATCTCCTGGGCCCGGCTGCTGGCCATCATCCGCAGCCACGACCACGTCTTCTCGAGGCACCTGCTGGAAACCGGCATGCACGTCATGGACATCGTGCAGCTGCCACCCACAGCAGACACACCCAACGAGACCACAGAGGAGCATGAAGCACCAGCGTCAGATGATGCACATGGCACGGGCGAAATGGACCATGAAGGCGATGAGCATGAAGGAGGCGACGGCGAGGGTGGAGGGGAGGAACAGGGGCAGCCGCAGGCAGCCGGAACTGCACCCGACGGAGTGTGAGAGGAGTTGGTCGGTGAAGAGGGATGAGCCGAGGGAGAGATATCCAGGGCAGTGATCTGATGTGACTTGGGGTGACTCATACACCTGTGACACCGCAGTGCAGTGGACTGTGAATCTTGTGACTGTGCTTTGTGATTAAACCTCCAAATCGAGGCGCCGAAAGTGCCCGCTTCCTTGCGGCCGTCTCAGAATGTCGTATTCAACCATTCGCAGCAACAGTGTGCACAGCACGAGAAGGACTGCGCCGTCTCGACGATCGCTCCCCTGCCACTTTGAGGCTTCTTTGACACAGATCTGCAGACAGAAAGGCCCTGCCAATGTTCCAAGCACAGATCTTCGGCCACTGATCCCTCCATCCATCGCCGTCGTCGACTTTCGCATCGCCAGGTGGCCATCAATGCCCGAAACCGACAGCATCATGGCCTCCAACCGCAAGTACTTCTTCGTGGTACGGATGAATGGATGGATGGACGGCAGCAGCCCCTCTGGGTGATCCTTGTCCACCGTTGTAGCACCACAATGTGCATCATATGATGTGCTCTGGGTTCCCATGGCCCTCTCTCTCTGCAGGATGTGTTCACGTCCAAGCCCCTCTCGGGCGCACAGATTGTCGTGCTCCCGGACGCAGAGGGCATCTCTGACGACAAAATGCAGGTGCGCAGGGGAAGAGGGAGAGAGATAGAGATAGAGATAGTGGTGGTGGCTCACACACATCACACGTGGGTCCGTCCTTGGTTGCAGGCGATTGCTCGGGAGTTCGGCACCGAGACCGTGTTCTGCTTGCCAGGGACCGACGGCGCCAATACGAGAGTGAGGATCTGGACGCCCTTGAAGGAGCTCACGTTCGGAGGTGAACCTGGATGAACAGACGAATGGCCGCTCCATCCCACCTGATCGCATCTCATCTCATCTGATCTGATCTCACCTGTGTGCCCCTCCCCTCCCCCAGGCCACCCCACCATCGCTGCCATCCACACGCTGGTCGGGCCCGGCGCCGACCTCGCCCACATGGCGTCCAAGCTGCCTCCCAACAAGACAGGACGCGTCGACTTCACCATCACCCAGCCAGTGGGGCCGATATCCGTGAGCAGCGAGCTGCTCAACGGGGCACCAGGGTGGTGTAGGTGGGGCTACGCCACCGAGTGCCGAGTCGACACGGGGGTGCCCTTCCCCACCACAATGGCTGCCACGCTGGGGTTGGCCCTTGATGACGTCGAGACCGACACGAAGCCGCCGACGGTCGGGCTGAGCGTCAAGGGTGAGCGGATGGATGTCAAGCTGTACGCCCGAGCGGTGTACCCCAAGGAGATCGGGCTGCCCTACCTGATTGTGCCCGTCAAGAGCTACGCCGCCGTGCGCAAGGCCGAGCTGAACAGAAAGCTGTGGGAGGACCGCGACTGCAATGCTGACGAGGTCAGTGACGGAGGGAGGGAGGGAGGGAGGGAGGGAGGGAGGAGGTGAGTGCAGCGTGGTTGGTCTCTCCCTTGTGTCAGATTCTGCTGATAACGACCGACACCGAGTTCGAGGGCAGCACCTTCCACGGGCGGCTGCTGGGCCTGGACGTGGGCATTCACGAAGACCCTCCTGGTGAGTGGGTGGGTTGGCGGACTTGGGCGGGGGAGAGGTGTGGATGTGTGTTTGGTGGTATGATTGGTGGATGCAGTTGGTTCGAGTATCCCGGCGTTGTCGGCGTATCTACTGCAGATGGTGGAGAACGACAAGAAGGCCGCGGGCCGGGAGCCAGGCGGACAGGAGACCGTCAAGTACTCAATCGAAAGAGGTACGTGCGAATACTTGCTTCTGCTCTCCTTCACCCTCCATCTCCCATCCATCCATCCGTCCATCAGGCACTGAGGACCGCAGGGAGTCCAAGGTGGCGGGCAAGACCAGATTCAGCCTGCTAGAGGTCCGATCGACAAACAGACAGCCACACACCACACCACCCCTCGCTCCCTTGGTTGGCTCTTTGTCGTCAGGTGGAGGCATCCCTGGAGCCGGTGGTGGCCTCGGACATTCCCACCAAGCGGCCATCGGGCCTCTCGGGCTCGGCGATGAAAGTCGCCATGAAGGTCGGTGCGTCCGTCCTTTTGAATGTACGCACGGACTGAAGAGTGTGTGCGCGTGTGTGTGGACATGTCAGGTGTCGGGCAAGGCGGTGACGACTGGCGAGGGCGTCCTCTATGACACGGTCTTCCACAACAACTGACTTGACTCTGACCCTTCCTTACAAGGCTCGTATTTTTATAGACATGTGTGCTCGACATGTGTGAGTGTTCCACGTGTGTGAGTGTCCGCGCCCAACCAACCACTGCCGACAGACAGGCAGAGATGGTCAGACAGCAGACAGACATTGCATGAATGTCGCTCTTCGTTTGACGTGACATTTCTCGCCTTTTTTGCCGCGGGGATGGGGAAGGGGAGGAGATGGTCCTGTGTGTTGGTGAGCATGGCTCGTGTCCGCAGCACGTGAATGGGCTTCTGTTGTTGTGTCTCCTGAACGTCTATCGGCCAACAATATAGGAGCCTCCCCTCTTCATCACACCCACCTTACACACCGTTCACTGTCGTACTGCACGAGACGCATTTGCGCATCTGCAGCGGTTGCGCATCTGGAGATGCGATGTTAGTGTCCAGATGAGCATGGCAGCAACCTGCAAAACGCACTTCGCAAATCCATGTATCCATCCACACATCCATCCATCCATCCATCCAGACAGGCAGGCAGGCAGGCAGGCAGGCACTCGCACACATCCATGACAGGCACGCAACACACCCATCGGAATACACGTGGGCACGAGCAAGACAAACACCTTGTGCTCACATGTCACGGACACACAGGTCGGCTGCGCACACACGCGGCGGCGGTAGTCGGGGATGCGGGAACACCCGCTGACAGGCCGGTTGTGTGTGCGGCAGACGGTCAAGATACATCCAACACATTCCATGTCCGCCCACACGATGCGAGGTGTCCACTTCGAATCAAGATAAAAAGTGCGGAGACAAAACGAGGATTATGTACAAGTCTGCTTTGTGCACACAAGCAACAAGTCGACAAGTCACCTGTGGTGTGTATGAAGAAATCAACTGGCACGACTGTCCGGCGGGCAAAGAGAGGGCAGCAACTGGCACGACTACGCACGAGGCGAAACAGAGCAAGAAATGCACCCAAAACGCATCACATCAAGCCCCATGCGACCCTCACGAACAGCACTGCACAGCGCACCCCCCCGCCCTGGCCATCCTCCTGCTTGAAGCGACACGCGTATTCATGGGGAAAGGCGTCGTGGCCATCAAGCATGTCTGCAGAGGCGTCGGGTCCATCTTCGGCGGGTGCTTCCGCCGCTGCGCTGACGAGGCGCGTGACGATTTGCAAGTTCTCCTTCGCTGAAATTGCCGGAGTAAGCGATGAAGCAGATAGTCAATTGCCGTCTCGTACTTCTCGCGTGGCTCCGGAATCACCTCCGCCGCCTCGGTGGCCGCATCGGCATCGATCAGATGTTCGAGGATCACGGCGGCCTCCTCTCCCGTGCATTCGTTGGCGGCCAAATGAAGCAAAGGCAGGCCACAGTGAGGAATCCGTTTGGGTCAGCTCGATCTTGCCGTGAGTTGAGAGGGACTGGCTGTCGAGGCCATACGCCAGCCGCTTTGTCGCTTGGAGGTCGGGCAGTGCACCTGCCTTCTCAGGTAGGTGATCTCGTCGTGCAGTGTGTGTCGGTCCTCAGACAGCGACTGCACCTTCTGCACGTGGTGCAGCGACTGCTATACCAACTCCTCCGTCGTCCTGAACACACACATGAAATTCAAGATGGCTGAGGGTCGGTAGACGTGTCTTGGTGTCTCTGCCTTGGCACCGTCGCGATTGCATCGATCTCCCTCTCCCTCTCATCACGTCGGGATGGGCAGCACGGGATGCGACACATGACCAAGGTAAGCCCCCTCACCGTAACCAGTAGTGCGCTGCCCACCGGCTGGGCCAACACGGCCCCACCACCAGTACCAGCAGCACCAGCATTGGCCGCTCTGTCGCCGTCATCGTGTCTCTGGTGGCCGTCTTAGCAGCTGCTGCAACACCTATCGTCGGCAGCTGATGCCGACGCTGCATCCCTCTCCATCCCACCCATTCCAACACCCTCCGAGACAGCAGATCGGCGGTGAAGGCCAGAGTGATGGAGGATCCGTACGCTGTGCAGCTGATTCAGCAGGCCGCCAATGCCAGACGGTGGGTCATGGGGATTGGCGCGGGTATGGGTATGGTTCGAGATGCCTAGTGTCGTCTGTGGCATCGTTCTGGCGGCCTCCCTGATGGCTGCGATGGAGGGCTGCTGGGGTCTCGGCCGATGCAGGGGCGATCAAATCTTCCGCTCCTCCGTCAGGCACCTACGCCTCGGTAGGCCGCCTATCAACCCGAGGCGTAGCAGTTTGTGGAGATGATGGCTTGTCATCTGCATCAGCATCAGAGGCCGTGACACGAACAATCGCAGTCCCCGATCGCAACAATCGGGAAGGCGGACGGGGACTGCCGGCGGGAGCTCAGGCTCTCGTCACCGTCGTCGTGCGGGATCTCAGGAGCCGCAGATGAGGGTCCACGTCCACCATGCTCATTCTTGGTGCGGGCGCAAGGACATCGGCTGACTCATCGAATGTTGCTGCCCTTGTTGCCATGCGGCGGCTACGGCGGCTGATGCGGGGGTGGAAGATGTCGTCCCGAAAGAAGATGCCTCCACAATCAATCAATCACCGAGCATGGCAGATCAACGCCTGAACGCTTGAATGATGCGAAGGCGATGCCACAAACGGTGCAGTGGTCCTGTGGCTCAGTTGGCTAGAGCATTCGGCTAATAACCGAAAGGTCGTCGGTTCGAGCCCGACCAGGACCTTGTATGTGCATACATTCATCTTTTGGGAATCCACACGCTGCGCTTCAGCCAAGTCGTGAGTGAAGTGAAGCACCACCAAAAGGATAGAAAGCAGATGGATCTTCATCGTCCTCTCGTCCTGTGTGTCGTGACACTGTGTGTCGTTGATGCAGCCTGTTGTCGTTTTTGTGGCGGTGCAGCCGCAGCGGCGTGGCGCCACGTCAGCTCCCGCAACAGATCAGCACTCGAGAGGTTCACAAGGGCGCTGCCTCATCGCACCTCATCGATGCGAAGGGATGAGTCGATGAATATCCGATGGTGATTCCTCTATGCGCTGTCCTTCTTGCCATCTCGTCGTCGCTCGTGGCTTGCTCGCCCCTCAAGAGGATCCTCCAGCCCGCCAACGAGACAGCTCCTCCGTCCCCTGCCCTCCCTCCGGGCTGGCGTGACCCGAGGCGGCTGAAGCTCCTGCAACTCTCTATTTTCTTCCGTCCGGCTGACGTAGAACTCTCAGATGGCCAAGTGCGGCGAGGCGACAACATCCTTCCGTATACCGAGATGGAGGAGCTGGAGCGGTGCGATTCGTGTCAGGAGGATGCGGCGGCTCTGTTCGAGTGGTCTGACGAGGCCGGATTGGTGAACGACACCAAGTCCGTCTTTGAGGACAACCTGTGTGTCGTGTCCTTCATCACGTGTGTGCGGCTGAGTGAGGCGCTGGCGGACGGCGGCCCGCGGGAGGGCTATATCATCTTACTGACAGGGGATGCCGAGGATGGGGACGTATCGGATGTACCGGCTGTATTGGCACAGCGGGGGGGGGGCGCCTTTCGTCTTCTTGGAGGCGTTTTATCGGCTGCGTCATGTGGTCTGCCTCCTGGCCTGGAATCTGCCAATGCAGGGAAGCTTGGGTGATGAGATCGCCAAAGTGAGATCTCTTCGCGCTATCGGGCTGGCTAGAGTGGTGAGTTGCATCTGATGTGCAAATTGATTTACGCACATTCTTGTTGTAATGCTGTTTATCATGTCAGGACGGCATGAAGGTGCCCATTCCAGCTACAATTGGCGAGCTGCCTTACCTCAAGGGCCTGTACCTCGGGCTCATGAGTTCAACAAACGGCTTCATCCCGCCCTCCCTCACCAACTGCTCGCGCCTTGAGGCTCTCTGGCTTGTGGAAACCGATCTTTCAGGACCCATCCCTCAAGACATCGGCAGACTTCGGCGCCTGCGGATCCTGGACATCTGGGGAAACAAGCAGATGGAGGGTCCCTTTCCGGCTAGTGTGACGTCTTGCCGCAACCTGATTCGACTGGGTCTCGAGTCAACCGTTGGCCCTCTCCCTGACGATCTCGGCGCCCTCTCTCGCTTGCAGATGCTGGGCCTGCGGAACAATTCGTTCAGTGGGGAGCTTCCTCAGTCACTGGTGCAACTGAGCCAGCTGCGCATCCTGAATCTGAGGGACAATCGATTCTCGGGCTCGCTGCCGGACGGGCTGGGTGCCAAGATGGACAAACTAGTGGAGCTAGATATGTCACGGAACAACGTGCGCAGGACACAAACAACACAAACGTACATGTGACTTTGAGGGCTATTTGCTTTCTTTCTACTGTCAGTTTTCTGGTCCACTGCCGGCTTCGCTAGGCAATGCGGGGAACCTGACGGTTCTCGAGATGCATGAGTCGGGCTTGAGTGGCCATCTCCCACCAGAACTTGGGAAGCTGGCAAAGCTTCGCAGACTGGACCTGTCTGGCAACCAGGTATACACCCAGATAAATAACACATGACACCGCACGCATATGTGTTCCTTCCTGTGTGCGTTTCATAAACAGCTCTCGGGCACTCTCCCGGACGCGCTGAGTGGCTGGAAGTCGGTCGAGTATCTCGACTTGAGCAACAACAAGTTTTCCGGCACACTGGAGCCCCTCAGTAACCTCCCGTCGCTCACGACGCTGTCGGTGTACAACAACTCGGTACAACCAAACGGCAGGAGAACGACGTATGGCATGGAACGCCACACGAATTATTGTGGCTTTGTGTGTTTGTATGTGCAGATGTCCGGTACTCTGCCGAATACGTGGAGTGGGTGGAAGTCACTCGAGTTTCTGAATTTGAACCTCAACAACTTTACCGGTACTCTTGAGCCGCTCAGCAACCTCACGTCGCTCAGGATACTGTGGGTTGACGACAATTCCGTATGACCAGTAATGAGGAGAGCGGCATGTGATAAGTACTTGTCAGCATGTGTACTGTCGCCACGTTTTAGTTCGAGGGTCACCTGCCTGTCGGCTTTTCGGCTTTAAAGAACCTCAATGCGATTTTCGCATTCTACAACCGGTGCACTGCATGGGAGCTAAACGCTGGCGCACATAATGTTTGGGCATGTGAAGTGTCAGACTGACCGGATTGGTGGAGCACAGCATTCGCGGCTCGGGATACGAGAGCCTTTGGAGGCTGGACGTCTCATTCAACCGTCTGAATAGGTCCGTTGACCTTTCTGTCTTCCCCAACCTCGAGCGCACCTGGCTTCGTCACAATTTCATCACGGGAGTCACCGGCAGCATACCACAAACGTCAGTGATGGCCATATGCGAGATGGAAACAGAGGATACCCTCCTTGGTCTCAACGTGACACTGTGTGTATGTCTTTAAATCTTATCAGATTGGTTCATCTGGATCTGAGCGAGAACCTTTCGACCACCCTGCCGGAGGGCTTTCGCTCAATGCCCAACTTGGAGAAGCTACGCCTCGCCAACAATCGCATTAGCCAGTGGCCCAAGTGGGGTTCCACACTGGAAAGGGGTTCCACACCGGAAAGGGTCTGCTTGACACCGGGGTACAACGGTAAGCACACACACAGGCACACACGCAGGCAGGCAAATAGGCAGGGGGATAAGTTGTATGTGTTCTTTGTGTGAACATATGTGTGAGGCGATAGAGTGGGCAAATGGGAGTTCGTTGGATTTGCTGTTGTCGTCGAAGCCGCCTGAATGGGACAGTCTGTACGAGTTGGACGTATCAAACAACCCAATCAATGTCGACGTGACTGAGTTCCTCATGCCCCTTAAATGGCAGACCAAGTGACTGCGTGTCACTGTCTTTCTGGCATTTGCTTCCTGCTCTGTGTCTTTCTGTGTGTGACAGTCTGGTGGTGCTGGATGCATCGAATTGCAGTCTGCAAAGCGCGATGCGTTGCGAGGCCTTTTTGGCATTCTCCCATAGAGTGCTTAACCAATCCCCATTGGTAACCGATCTTATACCTAGACAGGCAAACGCACACCCAGCTTTCTTTCGTGCGTATGAGTAGGTGACGGACAGCGAATTTTTTTTCGAGCTAGGATTTCGGCACTTAGGATCAATCTCTTTGAGGGACAACAACATCACCGCCATCGAGACCTTTCGATCACGAGTCCACTATGTCGACATGCGCAACAACTCACTGAGAAGAGTGGAAGCACGCGGCTCCAGGCTGTTTTCATCCGACTACGCGAGGTTCACACAGAACCCAGACCTAAGAAGTGAGCAGACACCGGTGTGTGTCAGTCTTACACCCATCGTGGTGAGAGAAAAGAGCAGAGAGCCTATATATATATGGCCGATATATGTGTTTCTTCATCGGTGTCTGTGGGGTATGTATGTGGTTTAGAAGTGTCAGGATTTGCGTCAATCAAGCGGTGCGCATCAAAACGTCAGTTGGTGACGAGATATATCTGCAAAACGTCAGTTGGTGCCCGACCCGCAGGGTAGGGAAGGACGCCCGTCATAGCACATGCAAAACAGATACCCACTGTTGTTTAGTCCACGTTCTTGCGTGACTGCATGCGCTTTGTGCAGGATATGTCGTGCGGACGTTGGACAATGGTGAGGAGCGGTTCGAGTGCACGGACTTTTGCTCCACATTCAACAGACTTGAGGTCAGATTGCGTATGGTCAGATACACAACGAGTACACATACTGATTGTACTCACTGTGCTTACTGCTCGCACAGGTCGACTACACGTTTGAGTCGGACGCCCTTTGTCGCTGCCTGCCTGGATACGCTGGCGTCGGCATCAACTGCACCAAGTGCCCAGCTGGCACATACAGCAACAGACAAGTTGGCACACAAACGTGCCAAGAATGTCCCGATGATGCAGGTCAGAGATGAAAGAAACGCATGACAGTAGCCCTTGCGACTTAGACTGTTGGCGCAGGTTCTGACGAGGGCTCACCTGCGTGCTATTGCCGTCTCGGCCATCAGCGCGGCGAGGAGCCGTGTGAGCCATGTACAGCGGGGTCTGTCGGCGTGCGCAAGGGCGGCGCCGATGGAAGTCGCAGCACTTGGATCTGCCAGGACTGTTTGCCGGGATTGGACTGCTCTGCTCCCGTCAACTACAATGCGAGCGTGCTGCCGGGCTTCTTTCAGCTCACTGTCCAGCTGCAGTCCGCTGGTTCACCCGACAACGCCACACGAGAAGTGACGACGTAGGAAGGAAAGGCGAGAAAGGCGACTGGGGAACAGGCAATAGAGTGAGGTTTGGTGTCTCTCAGGTATGGCGCTAGGTTGACTCTGTTGCCGATAGTGATGCCGTGTCCATTGCCGTCGGCCTGTATAGGCACTAACAAAACTGATGGACTCAACATATGCTTGGTAGGAGCCAACTGCATCCCTCTGAGAGCCGCCATTTTTACGTTTTGCCTTGTCTGCGTCTGGCTTCTCGCGTCAGACGCCCCAGCAGCCGTGCGCCCCATGTGCTCCGCCATGGCAGATCGTGCTGGTCAATGTGCTGCTCGTTCTCGCCACTCTAATGGCAATCTTCATACTCACCGCACTCGCGGAAAGGTCCGTCTCTCACGGCAAGCCTTTGAGTCGATCGATATTCGTGTTGCCTCTGTGCGTGTGTTCAGAGCGTCGTCGTCTCTGCGCGCTGAGGTTCCCTCCCAACTGACCAAAATTGGACTCTCGCACATCACCGCTGTACGTTAAGAGATGCAGAAACACACGTGCACTCGCCCCGCATCGTCTCCTTGCTGTCACTGTGTGTGTCCGCAGGTGTGTGGTTTGGCATTTCTCGTGTTTGACGAGTCGTCCGTCTGGGGCGACCAAATATCCTCGCTGCTCGGCAGCTTCTTCGCCTGGGACGGTGGCGTCGCGCAAAGCTATCAGGTGTATCAGTGTCTGCTGAGGCCATATGTGGGCGACAAGTGCGTGCTGTACCGACACGCCATGTGGCTTATTCTGCCACTCATCTGGCTCACTGCTGTGCCCCTCATCGGTAACCAAACACGCATACACATGTTTTTCAAGACAATGCATTGTGTTCATTTCTGGCTTGTCGTATCATGGCTGCTGCAGCGAGTGGTTTTGGCCGAGTGCGTGGTGCCTTCAAGTCGAGGCGGCGCATTGAGTCCGACGAGTCGACCTTATTGGCCACCGACACCTACCTCCGAGCCCTCTCAGCGCCCTCGTCTTTGACAAATGGCAAGGCAGACAACGCTGCCACACACGGCCCTCACCAGCGATCGGTCACGTTCCAGGAGGGCTCACGAACCGAGCCAGTGACGCCGGCCTCCTGTCAGCATTCGTCGGTGGAGCTCCGCAAGAGTGGCCGATGGCGGCAGTGGCTCGACAAGCGGGGAGGGATGGTGGTTGTCATCCTCACACTTATTCATCCCACGGTCACCAAGAACATGCTGGCCCTCCTGCGATGCCGGCCTTACCCCTATGTGGACGATGTTATCCGTATCGCGATCGGCGAGAGTGTCAGTCTGCTGCAAACTGACCCGATGGATGACATGCGGCCCCGAATGGACCTCGACTCACATGTCATCTGCCGATCGGCCGAGCACGCCCCGTTCCTGTGGATTGCTGTGGCCGGTCTGTTGGTGTGGACACTGGCCCCTGTGGTGTGGGGCGTGACGTTTCTGTGGCGGCATAGAGAGAGCCTGCAGGACCACCACACTCGACGGCGAGTGGGCTTCCTCTATGTCGGGTATCGCAAGGGCTTCTTCTATTGGGACTTTGTGCTGGCCATGCGGCGCGTCTTGGTGCTCCTTATCGCACAACAGGCGACGGCGCAGCCCCGCCAGCAGCTGCTGGGCTGGACTGTGGTCGCCACTGTCTGTCTGGCGCTGCAACTCATCGTGTGGCCGTTTGACCGTGGTAGCATGGACATCCTCAATAGGTCTGAGCTGCCTGGGCTGCTGGTGTGGCTGCTGTCACTATTCGTCATGCAGTTTGTTGTCATGCTGCCCGAGGGGAGCTCACTGGAGCTGACGATCAGCCTTGTGGTGGTCGTCATTGGGGCCAATCTGGCGTACTATGTGACATTGGGGGCGCAGATCTGTCGGCATGGTCTGCTGCAAATTGGCTACAGATACACGGCACTGACGGATCGCAAAAAGGCCATCGGTGGGCACCAGAAGAGCACAGAGTTTTCACGTTTATGGTACCTGGCTGCGTGTATCGTTTGTTCAGCCCGTTTGATATCCGGTTGTGTGACGGGGCCGTTAGTGTCGTGGCTCATCCACCGAGAGGAGGACAGAAGGCGCGTTTTGCCCAAGGTCTTCTATGACTGGTCCAACGCAGCCCTCTCCGCCGACGGCCCCTCTGATTCATCAGGGGGGTGCCATCCCTATATCGGCCGGCCGGTGCATCGTGTGGTGGCGGCCATGCAGCTGACGTCGGCCGCCGTGCAGGAAGCCATAGAGAAACTCAAACTCACAAATGTGCCCAGCGACTTGTAGGCACATACATATGCCACCAGTACAGCGAATAGTGACGGGGTTGTCGGTGCCTTCTGCTGTCTGTCGGGGGATCAGCCATGAGTTTCTGTGGAGCCAAGCGTTCCTGGTGCAGAGTCTGCGGCAGAAGCGGGTGGAGACGCGCAGCCGACGAGAAAGCCACGTGGTCGTCCACCTGCCTAAACCCGACGACGGCAGCGCCACCGTAAAGAAGGAAACAAGCGAGGACCTGCCCATGTCCGTGGTGTTGTTTCTTTGGCCGGGCAGAAATTGCGGCACATGCGGACGAGCGACCTCTCCAATGTATTCCGCGTGCAACGATCCAGCGAAGGTCAGCTTGCCGCGCGGATCATGATACGTACCAAACTTGCCAACTCATGTGGTCAATGATGTGACGTGATCTGTGCAGTGTCGACTCGACTGGAGGCCGGCAAGCCGTCCAGCGATGGACCAGATGGCCAGCCAGAGCTCTCGGACGTGTCTGCGGGCATCACATTGCACGACCTGCAGGCCAATCTGGGCCATGTGGTGGACGAACTCGTCACGAGAGAGCAGATGCATCAGCAACAGGCCCTCAGGCGGATGGTCGACGGCATTGATCTCGAGAAGGCCGACACTGAGGCACCGACGGACCACCAGCATCACACTGACGGCTGGCGGGGGCTGTATGAAGCGTTCCGCAAGGCCAAACGGACACTCATCGAGGCGGGCAGCCCACCGGTCAGAGAGTGCTTGTCTGTGTCTGTGCTTATACTCACCTGTGCTGTTTGTTGTGCTGCCTGCAGGATGCCATTCCGGAGGTCCTTGCGAGCCTCGCACCTACTGTGGTGGAGACGCCACGTGGCGATGCAGCAGAGGACGTGCCGATGAGCGGCGCATCGTCGCCCGTCGATTCGACCCAATCGCGGCTGCAGAGCGATCTTGATGCCATCGCCCTGACGCCCCCCTGCCAGCTCATTCGTGTCGATTGGCATCGGCTGAGCAGTGATGAGAACGACAGCGTGGCCGCGTCAACGTCAGCCGAGGCCGGCTGTGGTCCGTCCAGCGGCGTCTATCCACCGGGTGGGGCCAACAGTGACGACTGATGATGATGTATGTGGCAGAAGCGTCGTAGTCGACGTGTGTACCGTAGTAGCTGTACCGTATCCATCCTATTGGGGTGCCTTGTGTGCTGGGGGTGAGTGATATGGGGCAATGAATACACCCGATCTGTTTGTCAAGTCTGCACGCATCAAAGTGGCGGACCGTACACGACGTGTATTCGTCGTGTAATCGACGCGTCTCTGTCTCCCTGGCTGCAGCATAGTGCTGTGTCGGGTCCTCGATGTGGTGCACATGTAAGCGCATGGCGATGGACATACAAACGCCACTTTTTTTGGCGGCGTCGTATGACTGGTTCGGTCATCTCACGGTGTACATGCAGAGCTTTGTAGTGTGGCAGGCAGGCAGGTAGACAGAAGGGGCGTGTGGCGGGTGTGTGGGTGCATTGTGAGTGGGTCGAGGACAGCGAAGTGCGCACACTGCCAGTGACAACTTGGTGATGCGGTGCGTGCGAGTGGCAGAGGGAGAGAGTGCAACACTTGAACTTAGTGTGAATCATCATCACAGCAAAACAGCATCAGCATCAACATTAGGGTCTGCTTGTCTGTCCGTCTCTATCCATTTCAGGCAGTCAGGCTGCATCTCGTAGGCGACAATCGTGTGCACGCTTCGCTCTGCGAATCAGATGTGTCAGAAGAGAGTTACACACCCATGCCAGCGCAGGAAACACACACGTCAGACAAGACAGACGGGCTGTGCGGCTGCCGGTCAAAACAACACGACCTCTGCAGTCAATGAATCAGTGCACACCGAAGGCCTCTGAGACAGTGGCCTCTCGAGAGCTCAGGGTCAGACAGACATGCACAGGTATGGATTAGCATTCTCGTCTCTGTGAAATCTCGATAGCCTTCGCCAAAACACGGTTCGGATGAAATGTCCCGACTTGGCGTGGCGTAGCAACCCATTGCACACACGTATGCGTCTCGCCAGTCGTATGAGGACACCCCCAGCAAGTACCCATCAATCACGCCAGTCGCCAGGGGGTGGGCCAGTCGACAGCTGGTCGCATCGATGCACTTACTGACTGCGTACCAGAGGGGCGCAGCTTGACCGCCGTCTGTCTGTCTATACCCTCCGACCGCCTCCTGTACGTTGGGGGCGGCAATTTTAAAAGCGCATTTCTGTGCACGGCACTCTTTTGACATTACTTTGAAACGTATGCGGACAAATGATTTTCCTTCTTTTAACATCAATGTGTGTCAGGTATGTTTGACACCGAACGATACCTGACACAAACAGGCTGACTGGTATGAGCTTCCTCTTGGTGTCTGTGGCGTGGAAGTAGACGAAGGTCCAAACTTCGGGTTGGACCTTCCTTGCATCCTGAGGGTCAATAATTGGTCTGTACATGCCTGTCTTGGTCCATCCTTCCATCCATCCCCCCAAAGAGCATGTACGACACGACAATTGTCGGTGTGCCTTGAGAAAAAAGGATGTCGCATCGAAAAGATGATGCCTGAAAAAAAAGAATCGTGTGTTTCTGTCTTCAGACCTCCCCTCAGAGAATCAAACCAATTGTCCACACAGGTCATGAGAGCTCAAACATCGTTGAATGAAAAGGACAAAACTCGTGTGTGCTTACTGACCGATATTTGTTCTCATCAGCAGCGGTCAAGAGCATCAGCACAAGGACTGGCGCATTGCGAATGATGATAGCAGTCCCGCCGATGCCCAGTGCCAGCAAGTGCATCCTGATTACGCCCGGCTCGGTTGTGCTCTTAATCAGGGGCAAGTTGGCAGAGCGGACGAGGAAGATGTATAGCGCACCCTCGAAGAAGACTTCGATCAGCACCATGATTCCCAGACCTACTAGCCTCTCTAGCAGGTGACGGACGGATGGAAAGAGGATCTGGCCGACAGTGATGTTGGACAGGTTGGTGAAGATGAGCCCTGTCAACTCGGTCAAGCTGTAGGCATGCATTTGCTGCAGCAGTGGAGGCAGAACAAGTGTAGAATGAATGGATTTTCTTGTCTGTCGCTTTCCTTCCTTACATCGCTAAGACGCCGAAGGAATATCGGGTGATAACCAAACTGAACAACCTGAGTGGGGACGTCCAGAAAAGTGCTCAAAGACCTCACGGAATAGCGACCGGCCGACTTGAAACTCATCGTCATGGTCGTAGAAAGGCGGCTGAGTAGCATGACCGGCGTCTGCTTATCGCGCGTTTCCTGAGTATCTTCAGCAGTGACAGTGTCGAAGTGCCGATCTCGTACCGGCCTGCATAGGAATCGCATCAGACTTCTCCTCGCGGCACCACTTATGAGAATAGAATACGGCATGGCTAGGTCGGTAGCGAAGTCGAATGATGCAAAGATCAAGCTCCACAGAATCTGATAAGGAGAGACATGTCCAGGAAGGACGAGGAATGGATCTGACGCGAGGACAGCGTCGATGTGCCCACCTACCTGAGAGGAGATATGTTCCATCTTGGCCTGGACGAATCTTGGGAAGAGTGCGAAGCCGAACGCTACAAACGTGATTGCTGGAGACGTTTGCAGGGCAGGGCCGTCCAGCAGAGAACGAACGATGCCTGTGACTGAAACACAGGCCGAATACGCATGGAAACATGCGAATGTGTCCATCGGTCGAGCCGCATTTCTTACGGATCGCAACAATGGGCGACACCACGAGCAGCCAAGTAAAGAAGACGCCTGTCTTCTCGCTATCTGTCGTTGCAGTCCGGGCAAGTGGCAAAAAGTAGAGCCGTACGGCAAACGAAAGACAGATGACCAGTACAAAATCCCCATGTCTTAAGAATATGCGCCCGCTTCCTGACGATTATCTTCGAGTTTTGAGCCACTCGGCGAAAGACCCTGACAGGACAGGCACAACGACAAAGAATATGTGCTTACTATTACAATTCTTTTCTCACATGAGGGGTACGAGCACCACCATGGGGTAATGCATGAGCGGCGCATATTTGTGGTGTTTCCGCAGGGCCTCGACGTGGTGGAAAAGTGCAGAAGTCACGTATGGGACAAACCCAAGAACGAAGAAATACCAGGTCGTCCTCAAGCGGCGGACAGCCCCAATTGCGCTGCCCTCAGCCACAAGTAGTATTATAGCGATATAGCATAGGGCAACGGTGATGCGGCGAGTTACATCAAGGACTATCCCTGCTGCTCTCGCGGTCATCTTCTCGCACGCCGACCAGTACGCCAGCCACAGCAGGGCCCAACAGACTGCAAAGCCGACGGCTGCAATGAGGTGGAGTAAGAGTACCTGGAAAGTGACAGACCTGGAAGGACTGCGACATTGCGCGAATGATTACCTTTGTAACTCTTCTTACAGTCGTCCCAAACGGCTCAGGAGTGAAGACCGCACCAACAAACGAGCCTCCCTCATATCGCAAGTCAGTTTGGAACTCCTGAAAGGAGGCTGCATGTCCCGCGCATGCTCGGAATTCATTCACCTTTTCTTCGAGCTCCACCTCCTCTTTGCGCAGCGCTCTCCCGCCTTCTTCTCCGTCCTCATGATAGACAACCCCCTCTTCTGAGTAGGTTTCTGTAGGCAGGCCGCAGGTCACGTCGTTGGTCCCAGTGGCGCCTGTGCTCTCTGGGTCAATGACATGCGCCTCGCCGCTGAGAAGATCTGCTGGTTCATCACTGACTTTCATGGCGAGTTCAACGTCGCGTTGCGGTTGAACGGCGGTGAGCTCCGTGGTCAGCATTTCGAGCACTTTGATCATTCTGGGGGCTCCCTGGGGGCCCAGTCTCGAGATCCACGGCGGAGCAACTTCAAGTTCAAGTTGAACTCTCTGCTCCATGCCACGCGTCCACGCGCAGGATGATGCACCGGCTTTAGAGCCCGTTACATTCTGATGTGTACAGTACGGATGACGACAGCCCTCAGCGGCAAACAGCCGCGATCGCGGCTGGATGAAGGGGGGTAAGACGCATGGGCACGCCAACGCTGCACGAGAATCTTGACTGGCTCATGGCTGTCTGCACTGCTGTCTCTGTCCGCGTCTTTTCCCTCTGCAGCTGCTGCGCCAAATTGGAGCGGCGGTGTAGATGTTGAATCTGGCGGTGCAGATGCTCGCGAAGGAGAAGACCCCCGGCAAGGCTGTTCACAAAGGCATGCAGGATGAGCAGAGCTCCATTCATCGGGTGTTGATGGGGAGATCGTGTGTTTGTGATTGGTAAAGGACTCGCAATCGGCGGCCGGTCCCATACACTCACACGTACGTACACCGAACTGTACGTACAGAACCAACACACCTACGATGCGATGTACTCTGTCTCTCAACCCAACAGACAAAACAAAGCACTATATATCGCATGTGCAGAGTTGCAATTACTAAATCGGCCGCGAGGCTGGAGCGAGTTGGCTTGCCTTTCATGTCACAGGGCCTCGCTGCTTCTGTGATGGAAGCCAACTGGCGACATGATGTTGAGGCACTCAAGGACGCTTCGCATGCACTCAATAACTGTGTGGCTTTGTGCCTCATGCTGACTTTGGTCTGGGTCCGTCATTAATTGAGTCTCGTTGCTCTATCGGATAGTGTATCGTTGCAGCGAGACACAAGGCGTTTGTACGCAATGCACAAACTTGTCCCGACCTGGCGTGGCGTAGCAACCCATGGATGCGCACACACGTATACGTCTCGCCAGTCGTATGGGGACATCATCACGCCCGTCGACAGCTCCGATCAGGCCGCGTCGCATCGATGCACACCCACCCACACACTTCTTCACCCACCACCACTCACTGCCCCTCGAGATTCAAGCGCCGCAGAACGCGCGGCGCCACAGGGGCGCCGACATGGGGAAACGCACATCCATGGAGAATGATGCATCAACAGCAGACGACTCGGTCGTGATCAGATCGATGCGCCCAGCCCTCACCGTCAGCCGGGCAGCGATGGCGTCTGTAGGCTGGAAGCCGCTCACAATGACGTGGCGACGGGCACATCCATCTCGATTCAGGTCCCCACCGTCTTGCCGACAGTCCACCGTGATGCCCTCCTGCTTGGGGATGTACCAGTGGCCAGCGACCGATAGCGCCCATCACCATTGTACAAGTAACGGACCGCTTCTCGCCCCACTGTCGCGTGACGAGACTAGCACGCAAAAAGCCAGTCGACAAGAAATGCCGTAAAAGAGCGATAGAGCCACTCTCCACAGCGGATGACGGGGTCGCTTGTCTTGTAGCCGTTGCGGTAGCGATGCCCGGCCGGCAACTCGCGCCACGACACCACCTGAAAAGGGCCGACGATGCCGATCCGAAAGTCCCCGTCGTCAGCTCCCCGCAGCGCCATGCTTTCTCCGGTATAAGTCAGCTGCGGACCGATAATGCGATACATGACCATCATGAGCGGACGCTGGCGGAGGGCGATTGCTGTGGGCAGAGAATCAGCCGAAAGCCGCAGAGGCAGCCCTGGGGCGGGGGTGAGCTGATAAATGGCGGCCAAACGGATGAACTGGCTGACGATCCGCCACTCGCTGCTGCCCTGCTCCAGGAAGTAGACCATCTTGAAGGCGCCCACCAGGTCACTAGTAGTGAAGGCCAAGACATCTTGAAGGCCCAGTCGGCTGATGGCCTCCTCGATGTGCTGAGTGACGAGCCGCAGCATCATGTCCAGATCAGCGTGATGGGCGCTGTTGATCTGAGAGCGGAGTGAGTGGCTTTTCTGGCCACGACGCGACACGGCCATGTGAGAGGACCTCTTGATAGCGAGTGCCATGAGTGAGGGGAAGGAAGGAGCGCTGGCCGGGGGGTCATGATGAGTGGGGTGTCACAGCTTAGTCGACGTCTGACACGGATGGCATGCTGCTCTGCGATCGTACCTGATAGAGAGAGAGATGACGATATCCACCAGCGATGACCCTGCAGGCACCACAATTAGCTACAAAGATGCATGCCATGAGATGCCGACGAGATGAGTGTACCAACCTGATGAGATGGTGTTTGCAGCGGCGGCCGTGCCAGTCCTATACTTCTTTGCTTGAAGGCACCTCCGCACAAGCAAAGAAGCACCGCACAAGCAAAGAAGCATGTCCGTGCGGGTTCCCGTGCCCTTTTTTTCACGCCTCCGTACCTCAGTACGCGAAGCTGCCACGCAGTCCTTCCCGTCACATGCACATGGGGGCTTCGGGGGGTTCCCCGTCTCCGAGTCTCAACGAGAAAAGTCGCCAAAGACCCCGTTGATGTCTGGCTGTGGCTGTCGGTCTGCATGCTTTTATCCTTTCGGCAGACGCAGCCCTCTCGAACCTGACATCGAGCTGCATGAGGAGGCCGACGCTGAGGACGTCGATGACGAACGGCAGCCGTCCATCGCAGTGACCACTGGACCATCTGATCCCAAAGAAAGCTCCTCTTTGCCAAACAGCGCTAGGCGAGTGCATCATGTTGAGGCGGCTGGTCACATGGCGGCGCCGGGAAGAGATGAGGACAGAGAGGCCAGTTCTTGTGGAGGCGCTTCCTCGGTGCCTGGAGAAGGGCGAGCCGCAGTCGCTTTGCAAAGCTCTCCCCGTCCGCATGGGTGCCATGGGACGCCCACGCACTCGCGCGAGGACAGGCAGGACGATTCTCATGTTATGAGCCGAGAAGTGCAGGAGGCGGATAATGAAGTGGTTGCAGCTGCGACGGCAGCTGCAGCCACCAAAAAGACCATGAGCCTGGAGCTTCCTCCCGGCCCCGATGAGATCGGGCGGACGAACAAAAAGAAGGCCTCGTCGTCGATCGCCACAAGTGAGCCGCCAGAGCCGCAAACGAGTGTCAACGAGCATTGAGCACATGGGTCTGTGACTTCCATTCGCTTTGGACAGCTGAATTCCTTCCCTTCTGGCCACAACGGAAGACGGCGGAAGAGCTTGCCGAGATAGTCAAGAAGCTTCGCTACGGCGCGTTGCTTGCAGACCCATCTCTGCCGTGGTGCCCCATACGCATTGCCACATCACGGGTGGGTCCATCGATGGGTCGATGGACAGGATAAATCCGTTCGAAACTCGTGTGCGCCCTTTTGGCTGCCTGGACGGTATGGTATGCAGGTGTGTATGCTGACGGGCTACTCGTAAGCATGCACAGCAATGGAGTGGCAGTGAGATTGTGGTTTGACTGCTTCACATACAGTGCCTAGGAGCTGGTTGGCAACTCATTGGACTGTCTCCGCTGTGCAGCTACGGGTAGGCACGTACACACACAACATTGCAGTGATCAATGGAGGCAGGAGGGAGACACGCAAACACATGCTCAATCATCCCTGTCTGTCTGTCTGTCTGTTCCAGAATCCCGCTCGATGAGTCTCATTGAAGAGACAGTGGAGAGATACAGAGACGCCCTGTCGACCACCAACCGGCTGATGAGTGAGAAGCCGCACGACTTGATGAGGCGACGGTCTACTGAAGACCTGAGCGGCGGGAAGGTGCTGTTCTCCCCAGATGTGAAGCCGGTGCTGGTTTCCATCACACAGCAGGGCAAAGGGGGTGAGTGGCCACAGCCACACCCAAACGGCTGGTTTCATCCGTGGCTGTGGTTTGTTCATCTCTCTATCGCTCTCTTTCTCTGTCTGTCTTTCTGTCTGTCTGTCTGTCTGTCTGTGTGTGTGTGTGTGTGTGTGTGCGGCTGCAGGTTTTCCTTTTCTGAACTATCTGTTTGTGACCCCCTGTTTCGTCGGCGGCCAGACCTTCCTGCTCCTCCTGATGTGCGATGCGTCGGAGGTGAGAAGAATGGGCGGACATTCACAGCACTCACCCACTGTCAATGCTCGTCTCGTCGAGTAGATATTTATGGATTTTGATCCACGAATCGAAATGCATCGGCTCTTGCTGCTCTCTTACGTCAAGGCCAGATATCTCTTGAACGGTCGGTCAGTGAGCCAAGCAGTCAGTCAGTCAGTCAGTCATCCAGGCCAGGCGAACACCATGGCGAATCGGCTGTTGTTCGTGTCTCTCATGCAGACCGTGTAGAGGAGTCTCTGTGTGTGCCCATTGACGCCATTGCCTGGGAGCCATAAGGTGGGTGATCTGTGCTCCCCGCACTGCTCGGCATGACGGGCGAGGTCGGGTGATGGGTGTCTTTATTTGTCTCGCTTCGATTGCTGGTCACCGATATGTGCATATATGGTACCCGCTAGCCTCTAGACGCTCCATGTGTGTGTCCATCACTCACTCAAGTGGCTGCCTTCTGTGTCATCTCATGAAGGGGCAATGTTTCCGCCTTGCTAGGCATACATGTGGCATTGACCAATGACGGGGCACATGCATCGGTTGCTTGTATGGCCGCAGCCACGCTCTTTTGAACGAGACTTACGTCTATCTCAATATCTCAATGAGAGTCTAATTCAAATGGGACAAATATGGAGAGCGAAAGAGACATACATGTACAGAGAGAAGAGGACGGTTAGTTTCGTGCCTGTATGAATTCATTGGAGGTTTGGGCTTCTTACCTTTACGAGGGCTGTTGGGTATTTATGAGGGAGCCTGCGATCGCAGGCTCGTCGGGATTCGTGTGAGATGATGGATTCTGCGCCGCGGATCCGATCGCCATTGCGAGCTATCTTCCCCCTTCCCTCCCCCCTCCTTCTTTTCCCAGCAACAATCGCAGTGCCCCTTCCTTCTCAGCTGTCTAGATGAATGAGCATTGCATTCATCCATGGACCACGCCATCTCCACGTCGTTCTCTTGCTTTCATCTTGTTGCTCCTCCATCTATTCACCGCAGTGTCACGCGCCGACGATGACGAATTATTCGAGGTGGGTTGAAAAGACCATCACGATGCACACACACTAGATGAAACACCTGGTAGAAGACGTCATCAATGTGTGTGCAGGATGTGAAGTGGCCTGGTGGGTGGAAAATTGAAAGACACCATGCAAATGACTGATATCTTCTGGTCTCCGTCTCTCTGCAGATGACTGGGTGCAACGGCCCCGGAGCTGCTCACGTTATTACTGGGACAATGGCATAAAGAAGAAGCATGACGAACTGAAATCGGCCTGCTTTTGGTCAAAGCCGACCTATATAGGCGACCTCGTATGGAAATTCGGAGACTGATAATGCACACTGTGACACACATACATGGCCGTCTTTGTGGGTGGTTCAGGTGGTGATTGACGATGCTTATGAGGCACAATGGCTGGTGGGTGTATCCAATCCGCAAAATTCTCAAGTACCCAACGGCGTGTCCTGCCTGCAATGTGTGCTCAGGCAGACCAGCTGCGGAGTCGCAATGACCAGAACAAGGCCTATTGGGCCAGACTCAAGCGAGTAATACATGGCTCCATCCATGCATGCAAACCAGCCCTGTCTCAAATGCGCCGTGTCGGTATGAATGCAGACGGGCAGCTATGTGGATGAGCAGCCCAAGCGAATACCCGACCTTGGCGGCACAGCTGCCGCTAGGGACGACTGGTCCCCTGGCGGCGGATGGCAGTGGGAGGGAAGCTCGAGGGGTCTGTGGAATATCGCATGGGACGGCCGGGAACCGTACACGTACGGCAATAACGATCGTGGGATCATTCTCGCCAGGGGCAGTGATTATGAGGAGCCATGGTAAGCCCTACACGGAGGGAGATGTGGAGAGTGTCGGTCTGCTGTTGTCTGAGTACAGGGATCTGGTCATGCAGACGAAGGAAGGGGACCAAGACAATAACAGAGCCATGGTGAGACTACCGAGGATCGATGGATGCACGTGTTGACATCGACGTTGTTGAGTTCCTGATCTGTGTGCTTTGTCTGTGGGGCAGTGTGAGAAACGGACGCCTCTTTGCGGTGAGCCACAAATGTAGCACAGACATGTAGAGCCGTGCTGCTCGTCATCGATGGATACCTGTCTCGTCCACCCACAGTGGACCCCCCGACAGTGATGATAACCACACAGACGGCTTTTCCCGACGCAGAGGCGACTGTGTTCAACATCACTCTCCGATTTTCCGATGCTATCAAAGATCTGACCTTCGAGGCGCCATTCGATGAGCTGTCCGCATGGCAGACTGTTGGTGGTGTCGGGGGAGCTATTGAGTTGGTCAGTCAGCCGGATGACCACGTGATTGAGGAGAGGCTATGGGCGGTGCAGGAAGGTCAGGTCACCGTCCAGGTGAAGGATATGGTCTTCAGACGGACGTCGGATGATCAGGCTAACACGCCGTCAAATGAGCTTATTGTGCACTCTGGTCAGTCAGTGGGGGAAAGCCCACCCGGATTACCGATTTTCTTCGTCTGCTCGTGTGTGCAGGTTGTGGCATGGCGTGGTCTCAAGGAAAGGACATCGGGCTGATATCGAGTACATCAGTGAACGATTGGTGGAAGTGCTCGCGTCTGTGCCGCGAGGAGCCCAGCTGTGAGATCTTTGTTTTTGATGCATCCTATCCTCGGCCCTTCCCGTGCCGCCTCTACAGCGATGCCGACCTCTCCGGGCCGTCGGACACAAAGACAGTCTCGAGCAGCCGGAGCTGCGCCATCAGGACAGGTACATCAGCTATCCATAGCGGGTGTCGTGTCATGGATGGCGTCTCTGTAATATATTCCAGACTCAACCCCTCCCCGTGTCTCCTTTGTGCGCAAACTGGATGCGGCTGGTGCCATGGTCGCTGGCGGGACCTTCAACTACCACTACGACGACCCCGCACACATCCACGTCTCCGTCGACGTCCACATTTCCGAGCCCGTCACAAAAATCGCTACTTCCGACATCGCCATTCTCTGCACCAACATCAGTGCCGAGAGTGTCACCCTGCACAAGCAGCTTCAAGCCGGAACGTCGCCGTCGACCACTTGGCCGGGGTGGGACGATGCCTTCCAGGTCGAGGTGAGAATGGACGAGGCTCCTGTGGGCTTTTCGACAGGCCAGGCCGTCATCGCTCTGAGTCCATCGGCTGACGTGACGGACTTTTCGGGAAATGCTGCCGATGCCTCCGCTGCCGACGCAATCACATTCGTCCTTGAACCAGGTGGGTGGGCGTGGTAGCACGCGAGACATCATCTGTATCCAACACATGTGCTGGTTCGGTGACTGGTGCAGCGTGCAACCTGATGCGACGACTGAACGCCACGCTCCTCGCTGGGGGCAACCTCAAGGGACTTGTTAGCGCTGACAATCAAACATTCGATACCTGCGCAACCGAGTGCCGCACGGTGCCTTTGTGCGGTGGATTCTCTTTCCACCAAGCCAGCGGCCTGTGTCACCTGAAATGGGCCAGCTACATAGACCAGCCGGCGAAATGGGTGGAGACACCTGACCCAGCATATGACTCGGCCATCCGCGACTGTCAGTGTCTCACTGACTGCATCGGTCGGTACGCGTCCATGGATAGGCTCACAGAGAGAGAGAGAAAGAGATGCATCCGACATTGTCGTGTGTGTGTAGTGGTGACGCTTGGTGCCCAAGTGTGCGGGGATGGGGTGGTGGTAGCCCCAGAGACATGTGACGATGGCAACACTGACAGTGGAGACGGGTGCAGTGAGACGTGTCACGAGGAGACGGGCTGGCAGTGCCTGACACCAGGAGAACCATGCTACTGTAAGCCCGCGCACGAGAAGGAAAACACACGGACACACTGGGGTCTGATGCAGCGATCTGCGGCGATGGTCTACTGGTGAGAAACGAGCCGATACTGATAGACGGTCGTGTAGTGGTTCCGACAGAGGAGGTAAGTGACACAACACGGCGGGTCTAAGGAATATGGGCCCCCTGCCTGTCACGCATGTGTGTGTTGTATTCTCCGTATCTATCAGTGTGATGACGGCAACCTATTCTCTGGTAACAGATACGGAGTATTCATGCAAGCCGGCTCCCCTTTGTTGCCTGCCTGTGTGACTGTGTGCCTGTAGGTGATGGTTGCAGTGATCGTTGTCTGTTGGAGGTTGGATGGACGTGTCCGGCCCCCGGGTCGCCGTGCTCTCGTAGGCACCCTCAATCAGTCGCCACGGAGGGGATAAACCATGGCTATATTCGTTCATTTATGTGGCTTCGTATCAGCTGTGTGCGGCGATGGAAGGGTCAGGGGCCAGGAGCAATGCGACGATAGCAACCTCATCAATGGTCGGCACCCAGCTAAGCAGGCAGGCAACGGCACGTCTATGCGTTGTGCAGGTGACGGTTGCAGTAGTGTTTGTGAGATCGAGCCTGGGTGGACGTGTCCAATTCCAGGGTCGCCGTGCTCTCGTAGGTCGATGGCCCCGGGATCAAACAGACCACTGTCGTGTGTGTCCACATGTGTACAAGTGTATGTGTGTGTGTGTGTCTGTGTGTGTGTATGTATCAGCTGTGTGCGGCGATGGAAGCCTCAGAGGCGCCGAGCAGTGCGATGATGGCAACCTGATCAATGGTCGGAAGTCCCTGTACATCCAGACAACAGACGGCAGGTCTATTTGTCTGTGCAGGTGATGGCTGCAGCAGTGACTGTGAGATCGAGCCTGGATGGACCTGTCCCTCCCCCGGATCGCCCTGCACACGTAAGAACCAACGGTCTGCGTCTCCCGCTACCACACATTTCACACATTTATATGTACTGTCCACGCCTTCAGTGGCGCCCGTGGACTTTGACAGCATCACAGACAACCTGGACAAACTCAGGGTCAGTCAGCCGATCAGTGGGAGAACCTGGAAGCCATCTTCTGCTATGCCCCTCTCTCACTGCATTGCTATGCCTGCCTGCCTGTCTGACTGACTGACTGACTGCAGGACCCGGGGGCCATCGACCCAGCGGAAATCGAAGACATGATCGGGGAACTTCTCAACGAAGACAGTCAGCCCACACCGCCCCCTGTACACTCACTGGACGAGTTTGGTCGTCGACTCGTCAAGGCCATCGCGGTGGCCAGTGTGCTGAGCAGCGCCGACAACGCCAACATCAGCGCCAGCGTAGCTGCCCTCAACGGGACCGAAAGAAAACGAGTGGTGAATGCCCTCCTCAGACGGGTGGAAGTGGCAGCAAGTGAGCGGTCTACACGGCTGAGTGAGGAGTCAAGTAGCCCTGGGGAGGTGCTGCTGTCGGCTGTGACACTGACCAGTACAATCGAGGCTGCTGATACGACAGGTAGGCTGGCAGCCACGCACATAGATAAGCACACAGTAAAGAAACCAAGCCTGCATTCATTGTTGTCTGTGTGAGGGGTTTTCAGAGAGCGACGACATCGACGCCGCGGCGGCAGGGGTGTCTGCCTTGTCGATTCTTGCGAACGTCTCAGCCAGCACCATCAGCACCGCCACAGATGGCACCGGCAAGGCCCTCCTAGGGCTCTCACACTACCTCGACTCCGCAGCCGGCCTCTTCAGACAGCTGAATCGAAGCCTCATGTGTGCCGCCGGCGGCACACATCGCCGCCTGAGAGGCGAGATGGACTCGCAGCATCAGCATCACGATCTCGCGTCGCAGGTCTTGGCCTCCACTGCTCAACTGGGAGACAGCCTAGCAATTGCCGCCAGCCGGACGGCTGTCAAAGAGAGAGAGATAGCCAGCCCATCCAGGACCACATCCGTCAAGGTCGTCCGCAAGGAACACGCAGCAACAGGGGCCACATTGACGATCAACAAGGCGGAGACGGCGAATTCTTCTGTTGCCGTCGCTCTCCCATCATCACTGGACGCCATGATCCCGCCAGGCGGGCAGTGTGCCGACGGCAGTGGCAGCAACAACGAGAGTGTGCAGATGGTCTTCTGGACAGAGGATCCCTTCGCCTACTCGTCGGCTGCGTTTGAGGAACAAACAGCCAATCTCAGTGTGCTGGCCAACAACACACTGAGGAGCGCAGAACGTGGGACGCTGAGTGTGGCAGTACGTCGATGTGGCGCAGATGTCAATGTGGCGAAACAGGAAGGCACCAGCACTGTCGGTGAGGTGTTCCGTTTGTTCATTCCTCGGCCTGGTGAGAGCCAGGTGGCATCGCTGCAAGTCAACGACACTGCTGCCAACCTGACCACAAGAGTTGACGTCGCATGCGGATTCTGGAACACCACCACGCACCAGTGGGACACACGAGGTCAGTCCGTGTATATACGTGTATATTTGCACCAATCGATTGCCTTTATATGTGTACAGGCTGCTGGGTCAACGAGAGTCTGTCGAATGCGGCCACTCTCTGCTGCGTGTGCACCCATCTCACCTCCTTCTCGGCTCTCTTCAGAACGGTCATCAAGGAGAGCAACATCGAGGGCGCGCTGACCGAGTCGTCAATCAAAAGAATAGCCGATGCCAATGCATGGGTTCAAAACTACGCTGCAGCTTTTGTGGTGAGAGGAGGATCGTGCCAAGTGGACGGATGGACAAAGGGATTGATGTATGTGTGTGTGTGCAGATTGTCATGATGTCCATCCATCTGCTGTGCCTCGCAATGTCCTTATACTTTGACTGCAAATACCCGTAAGCGCATCGTGTCCTCTCATTTCCGTGTACGTGTTGCCATGTCCCCTGCAGTGTGACCGACCAAATCCTCCTCGACATATGGTTGGTCACACACGAACGCGATGTCAGATCCGGTCTTGGATCATTCTCGTCACACTGGCTATCTGTCCGATCTGATCTGTGTCGACATCAGGATGACTGACCCTCTGTTGGACGCGAAGCATAGGGCCCGCACGAGGCTGCGCAAATCAATGCGGAGCTGCTACGGCCCGTGCTACAACTCCTTCTTGTGCGACTTCCTCATCTGCCGCTTTGTCGGGGGGCTGTTCTTCCACTGCCGCAGACGAGAGCCAACACTACACTTGTCTGAACTCCGCACCATAAGGTCGATTGTCCGCATCATATGTACGAATGGAGATGCACACTTGATTCTCTCGTTCAGGACGGTTCGACACGATCTGATTGCAGAGCGGAGTACGCCATATCTGTCTGACGTGCGGGAACCGCTGGCTCGCGCGCGGACAGGCAGCCACATGAGTTCTCAAAGCGGAGGCACAGGCAGGTCTGCTGTGTCAAACGCGCCAATGCGCGGTTTTGCGAGGTGGTAAGATAAGCAGCATCTTACTATCAACCGAAGATACACCATCATGAAGGGATGCTCCTGTGTGTGCGTCGTTTGGCTGTCTCTCTGCTGTATAAAGGCTGTCTCGTCAGTTCTCGATGCTGTTTTCTTCGCCACAGATTCCCAAAGACATTAACGTTAAGGAGGAGCGGCGAACGACAGAGGAGTATCGAAACAGACTCCGCAAGTCTATTCCGAGGTGAGTATGCGCTTGTTTGTCTCTTCCAGCTGGCTGCACCCGACACACTATTCTGTGTCGCCTTTCATGCAGGCTGATCGACTTCATCAAGTCAACCTACCGCAGACGTCAGGCTGTCGTCATGCCCACATCCCCCACAGCCAGCGCAGCCGCTGTGGTGTCACCGGAGCAGTGGCCCAAGGGGGAGCCCGCCAATCTGCAGTACCTCGGAGAAACCTTTACACCCACCACCAAAGGAATGGCAGACTTCACACCTCCGCAGCCGGAGACACGGGCACAGCCCGACAGCAACGACCAAGACAAGCCGGGGGAGGAGCAAGTAGAGCAGGAGCAGCAGCCGATGCCAGATGAAGGGGACAGAGACAGCCCGGCATCAGTGACTAGAAAGCGAATCAAGAAGCCCGTCTCTCTCGCAAGGACCGGCTCTTCTGATGACGAGGACCGGGAGGATCCCTCGCAAGTAGTGTTGCCCGGCTTATCCAACAGGGAGGCCGCGATGGACATGATGGACATGCAAGCCGCGCAGGGCGTCATCAACGCGGAGAACGACCGGCGAAACAAGAAGCGGCCCGTCGGCTCGTTGAGTACGCTGGCGAGCACTTTATTTAGCAAGGTGCTCAACAAGACGACGCCAAAACAGACTGTCACTCTAATCAAGTACGTATGTATGCCACGCATCCTTAATGAGTACATTGAAATCATCTGCTTCGGTCCCCTTTGTCTGCGTGCAGGAGTGGGATCCTCAAGGAGGCGTTGCGCAAGCGTCTCCTTCGTGAGCTGCAAAGGCAGCAAGCGGCGGCCGTGCTCATTCAGCGCACCTTCCGCAGAGACTGGCAGGCCAAGATCCGAAATGCCAACCGCCCAACGCGGGCCATCTCAACGACCACGGCACAAGATGGGCCGCGGCAGGGGTCGTGCACGAGCCCGATGGGCACACAGCCCGGCCCCATCGATGCTGGGAATGAACCGGATGATGGCATTCTCAGCAGTGCAATCGACATGCACCTGTCGGGCATCATGACCGAAGCGGGCCAAAGCAGCTACTACGAGACGCAAGGGAGCACCATGACCGTACAGCAAGGGCCACTGCACCTGTCGATGTCGAAGATTCCGCAGCCGGAGCAGACACAGGCCCAGCCGTCTGCTGGCGACGTCTTCTCACCCACTTCCTCCTTCTGCGCGCCCTCTGAAGCCGCGATGATTGTCTTCAGCGAGCCAAGAGCGTCTCCAATGCCGGCGTGGCGGCCGCAGGGAGATCGGGATGGCAGCATCGGCAGCCAGTCACCCGCAGCCCGCGGTGATGGCGATGATGAGAGCCCCAAGGTTGCCGGGCCCGTGTCGATTGCGATCGGTGAGGGCGACAGGGGGAGAATGAGGAGACAGGTCACGATTATGGAGCCATCGTCTGAGGCATCGTCACATCGTGATTCGCCAAGACGCAAACCGATAGCGGAGCTGTGGGGTGACCTTCAAGCAGAGGTCGATCTGATGGTGACGCGCACTCTGCGGAGGATTGAGTACGTACGTATAAGATTGGGTTCGTGAGGAAGCGGCCAATTGAGAGATTGTGCTTCAGGTACGTCGAATGGTCGTCGGGGAAGATCTTCAAAGAAGTCTGCCGACGGGATCATCCCCTTCTCAAGGTAGACGCGTGTGCACAAAGACATCCATGGAAGGAGGCTCGTATGCTCTCGGTATGTGGCTGGTTGTGTGCATGCCTTGAGAAGCTGTTCATCCTCAACCCCACGTAAGACAGGAAACTCATTGATCGATTCGTCCCCGTCTTCACGATAGCCCTGTCTGTGTCTCTCTGTGTGGCTGGTCGCATACATCAATCAAATTCAGCTACACGGCTACGCAACGCACTTTGTTCTTTGGTTCGCACCCCAAAAGAAGACATCCTACACAGCCGAAGACGTGTTCTCACGTTGTGCATCAGGAAGCATCACGCTGGGTATCATAGCGATGTGTGGGATGTTCTTCAACCAGACCCAGCAGAGCCAGCGGGACACCGACAGTGTTATCATGAGCTTCCAATCCGGAGGAATCAGCTGGAAATTCACCCTTCGGCAGCTGGTTGTCCTGCTGTGGGCAATCATTCTCAGCAAGCCGGTGAGTGACTGAGTGGGGGGGTCGGGGATGCCTCTGGCATGATACCAATTAATACCACTTGATTGAACCGTCCAAATGGATGGATGCGCAGGCAGACTGGTGAAGAGGTGTGTCTGTGCGTGCGTGCGTGTGTGTGTGTGTGTTTGTAAGGTGCCCATCGCCCTGTTTTGTAAGGGGAAAACATACACATACATATACCCTTACATACACACATATACCCTCACCCTTTGTGTCTGTATGGGACAGTCCTGTTCCGCAAGACGGTCCCCCATATACCCTTTCTCCCGGATGCAAGCCGTAAGCGATCCCTTTAGATCGAGACATGGTATATGCCGGTCTCGTTCTTGCACATTGCACATTGCACATGGGTTACTGCAGGTATCACGCATCACCCGGCCTTTGGCCATACGACCGGAGGCAGGACGGCGATGAAACCGATGCCATCGGAGAGCAGGCGGATGGCGATCCTCACAGGACCGCAGATCTCCGTCAAGTCACTCAGGCGCGTCGCTGACGTCACCGGCAGACACTCTGGTGAGTGATCAGTCGACTGCCTGCACCCACATGCCGCACAGTGTGTGTTGTCATCTTTGTGAGCTCGGCAGTAAGGGGTGTGTCTGTGTGTGTGTTGTGTGGAATGGATGCAGGCCACTTTTCATTGGATGCAAAGATCGCCGTGTTGAGTCGTTGGCGGATCAAGGAGCGGATCGGCATCGTAACCAACACGACCTATCAAACAGACAGACAGACAGACAGACATACACAACGCCTTCGATCTCTGTGCGTCACGTATGCAGGCCATAGCGCTGCTGTACTGGTTTGCATGCTGCGGCTTCCTACTGCTCTTCGCTCTGTCTGAACAGCTGGCTGAGGGCACAGAGACCCGTAGCAGACATCTGGTGTACCAAGACTTTGTGCTGGCCTGCTCCAGTAAGTGTATAGATGATAGTACCTTGACCAGGGGACATGCGCACGCATCGCATCACATCACACTGGTGTGTTTCCTTTCCCTTGGTTGATCAGTGGAGGCTCTGACCGAGTTTGTGATCGAGCCGCTCTTGTTCTTTGTGATGCTGTCTCTGCTGCTGATGATGGTCCTCAGGGTGGACGCATTTGATTGGGTCGTCTGGGCGTGTCCGCAGTGGTTCGATTTCACCTTTGTGAGGGTGAGGCAAGGGAAGCGAGGTCGGCTGGAGAGAGAGACAGAGACATGGGACATGATGGTGGTGCGTGGTCTTCTGTCATGGATGCAGGCTCAGTCGTTGCATGAGCTGACCATTCAGCTTTCTGCCATGACCGACACATACGGGCTGACGAGGGGCATTGTCGGCTTCGCAGGCATCAACATTGACACTCACGTCTTTGCAGCTGCATTCTAGGCCTAAGCTGGCTGCCAGAAGGTGCCCTGGACTTTGGACCTTGTGGCAATCATTTTCCTTCGAGAGACCGACTCATCTTTCTGTAGGGTTGGTGCAAGTAAGCTCTTGGTTGCTGGAGATAGTTAAGCTAAGTGTAGCTCTTGGATTCGTCTCGTCATGCAGATAGGCCAGTCGACACAGTGGGTAATGCCATTGATGTTGATTGAGTGTGGATGCTTGGCCAGCTAGTTGATCATGCGATATCGATTGAATCACACGGTTATCAGACAGTCACTCATGAAGCCGTGCACAGTCATGAACTATTCACAGGCACACACACACGTGTACACAGAGCGATTCCCTGCGACGACACCAACCAATGAAATGCGAAAACCACCCTCAACCAGAGGCAACACCATCCCCAACCAATTCATCATCCACAACCATGCATTCAATCAATGCACATTCATCGAATCTGATGAGAGACAGATATTCTATCCCCCTAGTAATTCACAGAACGTGCACGCAGCTATTGTACAGACACATACGTAAGCGCTACACACAGACACACATGCACTGATACGTCCAACCATACCAACCATGGCAAGCCGCACTCTTATGAAGTGCCCACTCACACACAGCCACGCAGCTAGCACCGTCGCCAACTCATCGCAAGACCCACATCACCCACTGCCCCTCGCGTATCACTCTCCACTCATGCAGTCGATCACCCTCCCTTTTCGGATGACGTCGCTCTCGAGGTCGAATCGCCTCAGCATCTGACGCCACAACGGCACTGAGATGGGGTACCGCACATCCAGAGAGGCGAAAGAGGCAACGGGTGCATCACTGGCAGGTGTCTCGGTTGTGTGGAAAAGGAGGCTATTCCAGCCGCACAGCAACACATCGGCTGCGACGGTATCGGTGGGGCGAAACCCGCTCACAACCACACGACGCCAGTCACTCGCGCTGTCTCGACGGTCATAGTAGTCCCCATTGTCCCGACAGTCTGCCACAATCGCCTCCGACTCCGGGATGTCATCAGCTGTCAGCAGAGACTGATAGCGGTCGTCATAAAGGCGGATGGAAGCAGACAACACGTTCTTCTTGCTCGCCCCCCGGTTGGCCACCCGCCACAGCAGATATGCCGTGAAAGAGCGAAAAAACATGCCATACTTGACGACGGGATCGCCTTCATTGTACCCCTCGGCATAAGGATGGCCGTCTGGCAAATCCCCATATGACACCACACGAAACGACCCGCTAGTGCCGATCCGATAGCCCCTCTCTGCTGCTGGCTGACGGCCGCCCAGCGACGGCCACACTCCACATGTCCAATTCGTCAGCAGAGATCGGGATGTGGCTGTGCTGTGGATGTTGTCGACCTGTCGGAGCTCAAAGGTCTTTCCCTCGTGCATCAGCTGGCCGTCGATGAGTCGGTAGATGGCCATCGCAAGAGGCATCTCGTGGAAGGCCGACAGGCTGGACAGATGGACCACCGAGAGCACCAGGGGCAGCCCACTGGGTACCAGTTGACAGATGGCGGCCACTCGGATGAACATGCCCATGCGGCGCCACTCACTGCTGCCCTGCTCCAGCACATAGGCGCACCTCAGCAGATAACCGAGGTGTGTGGGGGTGCGGTCGACATCGATGAGGCCTCTGACTTCATTGCAGTCGATGGACGCATCGATTCGCTGTAGCGGCACATCGGACGTCACGAGGGCCGCCTTGGCCTTGCTGGCGGCTCGCAGGGCAATGATGTCACAGATGAGAAGGCAAGAGAGAATGCGCTCACGCCAGAGCTCCTCAGGCACCAAATCAGACATCACACCAATCGGCTTGGCCATTTCTGAAACAGATAATAAGCAACGAGCGACGTAGACAAGCCGTGAAGATCTCCCCATTCTCTCCCTTCCACCCTCTTCGTTCCCTCTCACCTCTTCGTTATCCGGGATTTTCGGACTGTGCCTTTTTCTTGTGAAATCGGCGCGTGGGGCGTTGCTGTACATCGCAGCGGATGGAAAGCAGGCCGGAAGATCTACTTCGAAGCTCGCAGAGGGTTTCGATTAGGGTGCTCCATGAAACCGCTGCTGCTTCAACTCCAAGCTCGCACGTTTCTGAGGAGATCGGGAGGGTCTCTCCCTTTGAGCGACAAATCTGGTGACGGAGAAGGGTCGTGGGACAAGAGCTGCACGAAAACCCCCCCTCACTGCCTCTCTCCTCGCTGCATCTGACTCTCGACCTCTCCTGATCTCCACAAGGCGGCACTCCCGAAGAGATCTCATGTGCCAACCCCACCCCCGAAGTAGCGACTCTGCAACTCTCTCCTGGTGGTTTGGCATGTCATCGTCTTCATCCCCCCCCTCGCAGGTCGCATCTGACCAAACCGACGTTTCCGCAGCCGCAACGTTCGACATGCCGACAGCCATCGCGTCAGACGGCGCCAGCAAGATGACCAAGCGTGGGGTGAGTTCTTCTGGG